GAGCCAAATCAGATATTCAACTGACTGAGCCACCCAGGAGTCCCTTTATGTTTTTTATTTAAAAAAAAAAAAAGTTGGCTTGATCTCATGAAACACGAAATCATGACCTGAGCCAAAACCAAGACTTGGATGCTTAACCAGCTGAGCCACCCAGGTGCCCCATCTCTCTTTCTCTCTCTTTTTTTTAATAAAGTAGGCTTCATGCCCAACGTGGGGCTTAAACCCATGACCCTGAGATCCAGAGTCCCCTGAGAGCCATAGTTGAAGGCTCTACTGAATGAGCCAGCCAGGTGCCACACAACAATTTAATCCTTGTTCATGGGATAGTCATTGTATGAAGATTATATCTGGGTACTATTCTTATCACGATAGCCTTAGGTCAACAATAAATTTTTTTTTTCAACGTTTATTTATTTTTGGGACAGAGAGAGACAGAGCATGAACGGGGGAGGGGCAGAGAGAGAGGGAGACACAGAATCGGAAAACAGGCTCCAGGCTCTGAGCCATCAGCCCAGAGCCTGACGCGGGGCTCGAACTCACGGAGCGTGAGATCGTGACCTGGCTGAAGTTGGACGCTTAACCGACTGCGCCACCCAGGTGCCCCAACAATAAAGTAAATTTAAATTCAAGAGCTCACATACGATTATTTTTTGAAATTTTATTTCATTATATCTTTAAATGTTTATTTTAGAGAGAGAGAGAGCGAGGGAGAGGGAGGGGCAGAGATAGAGGGGGACAGAAGATCTGAAGCTGGCCCTGCACTGACAGCAGAGAGCTTGATGCGGGGTTCGAACTCACAAACTGTGAGATCATGATCTGAGCTTAACCAACTGAGCCACCCAGGCACCCCTTATATATGACTCTTTATAAAGACCAGTTAATTCAATTAGAGGGCAATAACTTTGCAATGAGCCACCCAGGCACCCCTTATATATGACTCTTTATAAAGACCAGTAAATTCAATTAGAGGGCAATAACTTTGCAATCTTTATTATTCCTAACAAAAACCAGGCACAGTAAATGCTGAATACTAAATCATTAAAGAAAATCTGTTTAAAATTTTTGGCAAAGTATGGCATTCAAAGTAGGAAGCTCCATTTCCTGGTATGTTCTTCTGTAAAATACTCTGAGGAACGGTATTACCCTGAATATTCTGAAGCATATCTTCAGGTTTGAAAATGCATAAACAATTTTTAAATGTCGTATTTTTTCCAATTAAAAATACTTAGGCTTCTGGGCACACCTGGCTGGCTCAGTCGGTAGAGCATGCAACTCTTAATCTCAGGGTTCTGAGTTCAAGCCCCACAATGAGCATGGAGACTACTTAATTAAAAAAAAAAAAAAAAAAAAAAAAAAAAAAAAGATTCTGTTTTTTAAACAAAGCACAGGAAAGTTAAAACTTCAAAATACTTCCTCAAAGAAGGAGGTAAATAGATAGAAGAGTTAAAAAAAAAGTTTTTAAATTCCGATTCAGAAAAACAAAGAGCTTTAGTTAGCTGGAAAATTTACTTACATGGAAAACTTAATTTGTTGATAGCAGAATAAATATACTGTGTATTAGTTATTACTACTATTTATTGAATGTTTACTATGTGACAAACTCTTAAAAACCTAGATGTAATATTAATAATCATATGTATTATCACCTGCATTTTAGACAGAAATTGAGGCTTTGAAGAGTTAACTTGTCTAAAGTCCCTCAAGTTAGAAGCAGTTGATTAGAATACAGGTTTATCATTTGCCAAGGCCAATTCCATTAATGCTAACATTTTATTTCATATACAGATGTATATAGATTTATAATGTCTCAAACATTTGGTTTATTCTTTATCTGATAAAATAGTTTTAATAAAGTGAGATTAAAATAATTTAAGATCTGAAAATTCCTCTTACATACTAGAAATATCCAGAAGGAATAGCTCACATAAGAATACTACCACTAAACTTGATTTGCATTCTCCTACTCTGTAAGGTGAGAATGATACTTGTTCATTGGCTTTGGATGACAATCCCCCATTCCTTGATACAACTACAAAGAGGTATTTTTTATACTCTATACTCAAGACAATCCAGTATATGCCACTAGAGTTGATGGTAACTGAAATTTAAATCAGTTTAGTGTGGGGGTGCCTCAGTTAGTTAAGCATCTGACTTTGGCTCAGGTCATGATCCCACAGTTTTTGGGTTTGAGCCCCGTGTTGGGTTCTGTGCTGACAGCTCAGAGCCTGGAGCCTGCTTCAGATTCTGTTTCCCTCCTCTCTCTCTCAAAGATAAACAAACATTAAAAAAAAAAAAAAAATCAGTTTAGTGTGGTAGAACAATGAGGAGAAAAAAATTACCTTTTCAGGTTGTGTAAAAAATTTCATTGGGAGGACTGGATCCTTTGGTGAGTCTGCATTGCACAAAGCACTTTTACTATTTATAACACACAGAGCCACATCACATACTGTATAAAGTTTCTAGGGAGGAAAAAAGAAACATCATATGTAACTTTCAGTAGTACAAAATAACCACAAGCACCAATTCTAGCCAATGTACAAAATGAAGCAAAAGAGGGATCTGTGGGTATTGTTTACTCCTTTAACATTTTACATTTGTGTCTGGCACTTCTTATGTAGCCTCCTGGTAAACAAACAAAAAAACCTTTACCTTAATTAACATGAAGTCCAAGTATGCATTAAAAACAAACAAACCTCCTGAAACCATTAGTATACTATATGTTAACTAACTTGGACTTAAATTAAAACAAAAAAACCCAAATAAACCAAACCAAACCAAAGGAAAAGGAATATCTACTTGTGTGTAACTTACTAAAAGGTTCATAAGATAGCAGAGTAGTAAGTTTTATTTTTATTCCCCTACTCTGTAGAAGTTTTAATGTCCTTCTTCAGGGTAATAAACATTCCTCAAATAATAGAACTCAACTGTAACAAAATACAATAAAACTGACCATAAATATATATTTTTATAAACATTCTGTAATCTAACATATATTATGTAATAAGAAAAAAAAAATGGGACAAGGACCATCATATTTTTTCCTATAGTGATCTAAATACCCACTAGCCTAACACATATCTTACTTCATTTGTCTTGGATTCATCTGGAGACTGGGCATCTTTTGTTAACTTGATGTTCTCTGCCATCTTCTTCATAAAGGCATGGCTATTGTTTTCATTCTTTGTCATTAAAACTTCAAGCATGAACCATAGGCACCTAAATGATAAACATTTGCCTATTACAAGAGACTAAACGTAGGTGTTTTGTTTAATGGACTAAATATCTTATTGGGAAGGTCTGTTGTCTGAAAATAACAAAATAAACATAAAATATAAATAAACTAAACCATAAAACAAAACATTAAAAATGAAAACATAGCTTAAAATTAGAAAGTTTGACAGTTTCCTGAGGCATGTAAAGATTCATTCTACAGGTATTTGATAAGCATTTAGAGGACTTCACATGTGTCATTGCCCAGCAATGATGAGGAAAGCAGGGGACAGCAAAGTCTTCCCATTTTGACTGTTTACAAACTATGTAGGTCTAGGATTTGCATGTAATTCTGCTGTGACATGGCTGTGAATTGCATGTGCTGTGAGGCTGATATGCACACTAACCAGGCATTCAGCTAAGCAGTCAAATCTCAAACTATTTTTGCTGTTTTCCACTTGTTACTGTATATTCATTTAATACACAAAATATCTGAAGGGAACACCCAAATTTCTCAGTAAAAGTGAATCTCAAACCAGGATGAACATTAGAATCACTGGGAACCTAAATCGACATCTAGGGTAAGTTCTGTTTGCAGTAAGTTCCTAGGATGATTCTCAAGCAGCCAATGGACTTATTGCTTTACTGCATCAACAGGGGAGAAAACATATGATGATAATATATGCATACTTCTTTGCTTATATTCTATGTAAATGTTTTTTTTGTTAAATTTTTTTTTTTTTTTCAACGTTTATTTATTTTTGGGACAGAGAGAGACAGAGCATGAACGGGGGAGGGGCAGAGAGAGAGGGAGACACAGAATCGGAAACAGGCTCCAGGCTCTGAGCCATCAGCCCAGAGCCCGACGCGGGGCTCGAACTCACGGACCGCGAGATCGTGACCTGGCTGAAGTCGGACGCTTAACCGACTGCGCCACCCAGGCGCCCCTCTATGTAAATGTTTTAAGAGACTACTTACAAGGGGAAAATTTAGCACTAGGTTAATGAGTTCACTTTTAGTAGTCCTGTTTTAAAAGAACTGTTAAACTGAGTCCTTTAAGGCTAAAATAAAAGGACACTAGACAGTAACTTAAAGCTGTAAGAAGAAATAAAGAACACTAGTAAACACAACCACATAAGTAAATATAAAAGCCAGCATTACTGAACTTTCAATTTGTAACTCTTTTTTTATAGGATTTTATTTATTAAAATTTTTTTTTAATGTTTATTTTTGAGACAGAGAGAGAGAGAGAGAGAAAGAGGAAGAGACAGAGAGAGTGTGAGCAGGGGAAGAGCTGAGAGAGAGGGAGACACAGAATCCTAAGCAGGCTCCAGGCTCTGAGCTGTGAGCACAGAGCCTGACATGGGGCTCAAACCCACAAACCGTGAGATCATGACCTGAGCTGAAGTCAGATGCTTAACCGATGAGCCTCCCAGGCACCCCTTTACATAAGACTTTAAAGGTATCAATGTATGACAGGAAGCCATCAAAATTCTCGAGGAGAAAGCAGGCAAAAACCTCTTTGATCTTGGCCGCGGCAACTTCTTACTCAACACATCTCCGGAGGCAAGGGAAACAAAAGCAAAAATGAACTACTGGGACCTCATCAAAATAAAAAAGCTTCTGCACAGTGAAGGAAACAATCAGCAAAACTAAAAAGCAACCTAAAGAATGGGAGAAGATATTTGCAAACAACATATCAGATAAAGTGTTAGCATCCAATATCTATAAAGAACTTCTCAAACTCAACACCCAAAAAACAAATAATCCAGTGAAGAAATGGGCAAAAGATATGAATAGATACTTCCAAAGAAGACATCTAGATGGCCAACTGGCACATGAAAAATGCTTAACATCACTCATCATCAGGGAAATACAAATCAAAACCACGAGATACCACCTTACACCTCTCAGAATGGCTAACATTAACAACTCAGGCAACAATAGATGTTGGCGAGGATGTGGAGAAAGAAGATCTCTTTTGCATTGTTGGTGGGAATGTAAGCTGGTGTAGCCACTCAGGAAAACAGTATGGAGGTTCCTCAAAAAACTAAAAATAGAACTACTCTACGACCCAGCAATTGTACTACTAGGCATTTACCCAAGGGATACAGGTGTGCTGGTTTGAAGGGACACATGAACCCCCATGTTTACAGCAGTACTATCAACAATAGCCAAAGTGTGGAAAGAGCCCAAATGTCCATCGATGGATGAATGGATAAAGAAGATGTGGTATATATACACAATGGAGTATTACTCGGCAATCAAAAAAGAATGAAATCTTGCCATTTGCAACTATGTGGATGGAACTGGAGGGTATTATGCTAAGTGAAATTAGAGAAAGACAAAAATCATATGACTTCACTCATATGAGGACTTTAAGAGACAAAACAGATGAACATAAGGGAAGGGAAACAAAAATAATATAAAAACAGAGAAGGGGACAAAACAGAAGAGACTCATAAATATGGAGAACAAACAGAGGGTTACTGGAGGGTTTGTGGGAGGGGGGATGAGCTAAATGGGTAAGGGGCACTACGGAATCTACTCCTGAAATCATTGTTGCACTACATGCTAACTAATTTGGATGTAAATTTTAAAAAATAAAAAAAATAAAATTTAAAAAAAAAAAGAGAAAAGGAAATGAAACAAACAAGAAAAAAAAAAGACTTTATAGGCATTAAATGCACAGAGTAACAATTACATCTATGTAAATGGAAATAATGTAAAAAGACAGAATTTCTATGAATAACATTAAAGGTAGAGGGATAGAGATTATAGGAGCACAGGGTTTGTATACTATTGAAACTAAGCTGCTGTTATTCAAACTAGGTTGTTACAAATATTTTTTGGAATCTCTAAGAAAATAACTAAAAATTCACACAAAAAAGGGAGTAAGAAAGGTTCACTACAAAAAACTAAATACAAAAAAGAGAAGCAGTAGTAAAGGAAGTTAAGTAACAACATACATAACACAGAGAAAAACAGCTATATGGCAGAAATAACTCTTTCTTTATTGGTCATTATGTCAAATGAAAACAGATTAAAACTCCCAATTAAAAGGCAGAGATAAGCAGAATGGGAAAAAAAAATCTACCTACATCTATCTATGAGAGATTCACTTTAAACATTCTTTAAATTTTTTTTTTTTTTGAAGAGAGAGAGAGAAGGCATGTGTGTGAGCAGGAGAGGGGCAGAGAGGGAGAGAATCTCAAGCAGGCTATATGCTGTTCAGCGGAGAGCCCAATGCAGGGCTTGACCCCATGAACCATGAGATCATGACCTGAGCCAAAATCAAAGTTGGACTCAACTGAAAGTTGGAGCATCTGAAAGTAAAAGAATAAAAAAATTTTTTTTCTTTCATGCAAATAGTAACAAAATGAGGGCTAGTAGCTATTTTATCATCAAACAAAATAGATTTAAAGTAAAAAAAAGATTATAAGGGGCACCTAGGTGGCTCAGGTCATGATCTCACAGTTCGTGAGTTTGAGCCCTGCATCGAGCTCACTGCTGTCAATGCAGAGCCCGCTTTGGATCATCTGTCCCCTTCTCTTTCTGCCCCTCCCTTGCTTGAGCACTCTCTCTCTCAAAAATAAACATTAACAAAAAATTTAAAAAAGATTATAAATAAATAAAAAAAGATTATAAGACAGCCAACTACAATGATAAAAGGTTCAATCCAGCAGAAGGTAAGATTATCATAAAACACATACAAACCTAACAGAGCCTCCAAATTTTATGAAGCTAAATCTGACAGAATTGAAGAGAGAAACAGATTAATTCTGCAGTAATAAACAGAGATTTCAACGTCTTATTTTCAATAATGGACAGAAAAGACCGAATAAGAAACAGAGAACTTGGTCTGGTTCAAGATGGTCACATAGTAAGACCCTGAACTCACCTCCTTTCAGGAATATATTGTATCTACAGCTACATATGGAACCAATTTCCTCTTTAAAAACTTAAAAGGCTGACTGAGTGATGACTACACATTAGGCAAACAAGAAATAAAAACATATCAAAGTGGGGAGGAGAGACTGGGATACAATCTCGCCATAAACCCCACCCCTGTTGCTGTGACCCATAATTGTGAGGGAACGGAGCTTCTCTCTGAAGAGTGAAATGTTAAAACCCCACACTGGGCACCCAACTTCTAAGACATGAACTTGAGAGAGGAGTCCCCAAAATATTCTACAGATACTGGGACCCACAAGTCTGCAGCAATCTGAGAAATGCCTCTTAAAGGGTTCATATGCTGGAATGGACCCACTCCAGGGCCCAACTCACAGGCAGCTCAGAGTAAAGAAAGCTAACCTGCTTATAACCTCGACTTGAGGGGCAGGCATCTACTGTAACTTACATATCTAGGAAGCTGCTGGAACACTCTCCAGGGACGGAGACTGGTGACTGCCATCTTTGCATTCTCCCTTTGCTGTGCTCTCTAGAGGACCAGTAGCTTCCAGAAGGGAGCTTTACATTTGTCTTGTGCCTTTTGTGGGTGCTGCCCACGGGAACATTTCTAGAACACCTGGCTCTGGAAGAACAGAGGGGCTTGTGTTTCTGGTCACAGGGGAATGTAATAATCACCCAGAAAGAAGTTCATAACCTTTGCTGGCGCCCCAATTTTTGTGCCTGCTGCCAAGGGACAGCTCTACATCAACTAACTCTGGTGGCCAGTGGGGCTTCTATTCATGAGTCCCAAAGGACGGTAGCCAATGTGCTACCAGCTACCACCCTACAGGGCACAGCAAGAGGCCACTGACCCAGGAGCTGGGTCTTTCTGAGAAGTAAGCCTATCAGCTAATCATCATAACTGTGGCCTAAGGGTCAGGCTTCTAAACAAAGCAATCATCTAGAGGCTGACTGAAATCCTTTCCAGAGACCTCAGACGGCAGGCACTATCTTCAGACTCACCCTCCACCAGTGTTTCCTGGAAGAGAGCTTGGAGTCTGGTGCCTGATGTTTGGGGGACAACCCTTAATCACCCGGCTCTGTTGGCTGGAACG